TCTTGCTTAGCAGGAAGCACACTAACCAACCAAGCCACACTTGCTCCTTAAAACAAGAGTGTGAGGTCACTTAGGATCAAACTATGGACCTCTTGTTAGCAGGCAGCACACTAACCAACCAAGCCACACTTGCTTCTTAAAACAAGTGTATGAGGTCACTGAGGATCAAACTATGGACCTCTTGCTTAGCAGGTAGAACATTAACCAATAAAGCCTCATTTGTTCCTAAACACTAAAGCCTCACCTCTTGTTTTTCCATCAGTGACTTTTCTTTCTGTTCAGTAAATTGTAGATTTTGCTGTGCCATCTTGGCCTCAGCTAGTTGGAGCTCCAGCTGTTTGTGCTGAACAATCTTGTCAACATGCTAGAGAAACAGATTATCAGAATAGAAACTGTCTTTGATTTCAAGGCAACTGAGTTTAAATTCACATATGGTGTCATGAGGTTTTCGATATTCTGCGAACTCAGGAGTTGCAAGGTGGATGCTGAAATTTGGTTTTTCGCCGCTGCATCCATCAAAAATAATCAGTCGATATCTTTTATAATCTTGACTGGCAGTAGTGGAAAACCAATTTCAAGACAAGCCATTGAAATTTCTGAGTTTAAAGAATATTGATAACATAACCACAATATTTAATGAAGTGTCCTCACTTACCTGTTCTCTGGATTCATACTGATCAACAAGTCCTTTCAGTTTCGTAGCCAATCTTTGTAAAATGAAAAAGTAAGAAGATTATAATYATTATCAAGTCCAATTATTTAGTACATTCTTTTGTACTGTCTGGTGCTCACAAAGGCAAACAGGGTTCGATTTCCCCAAATGTGTATTGTATGTAAGAAGAGTTGCTTGTTGGTTCTCTCTTGCGCTTCAAGGGACGGTATTGTGTAAGTAGCAGTCAAATGGCTTTCAGTTCCCAGCCATCGTGTCATGTGTCATTAAAAGTTAGGTAAGGCGAAGCAAAAATTGTTGAACTTCTTTGAAGAATTGTATTTAACACTTATTGACTGGGACCGACGGAAACAGTGTGTCTYGTGATCCCGAGACGGCAATGTTTCACGAGGTGACCATACGAGGGAAACATTGCCATCGAGAGACCACAAAACACACTGCTTTCCCGAGGTTCAAGTCAATAAGTGTTTTGTTATATACCAAGTGTCAAAGAAAAAAAAAGCAGTTAATATATTTGATTTTTTGATTATTTTATTTCCAAAAACTTGTAAAAACTTACATTTCCGGAAAAATCACTTCGGAGTATCGTTATTACGGGTCAACRACATATTGTTGTCCGCTAAAGCTATCGCTGGGGAAACACTGAAACTTGTTCACGTTCACATGATACCCTCTTGCCCAATCACAGTATRAGAAAAATGGACTTTGATAGTTGGTATATAACAAAATAAATTATTTATAAAGTCAGCTAAGTATCTGATATGGCTGTGTATTATTTTTTAATTGCTGCTGGTGTAAGACTCTTAAGTTTTAATAAACTATATTGAGTTGTTTTGACTGTTTGGACCTCTCTCTGTTCTCTGTAGCCTTAGCTTTAAATACCCATAATAAGGAGCACTGATATAGTCTGAGTGGGTAAAGTGCACACCTTCAAGTACTTCATACAGTACATGAGCCTCTGGCTTTTAAGGCAAAGTGGACTTGGGAATTGAAGACTCTTAAAACTGCAGTGTATATGTATGCAGGCTTAGCCTTGAATCCAGGAGTTGCTTGTCTTGTTATTCTGATTTCTGCTTTTGTTTACCGACCTCAGAAGTGAAGCTAAGCCCACATACACTGGAGTTTTAAGAATCGTCAATATAGGGAAGATTAAAGTAAAATGAATATAAAAATATATATTCTACTTACTCTTCATTTTCTATTTTCAGTTGTTCATTCCTCTTGAAGTTCTCTTGCATTTGTTGTGAAATATCATTGATAGTTGTTTGAAATTTGTCTGATAATTCTTTTCTTTTGGCTTCTTCTTCCTGTGTTCTTAGCTGGCATTCCTCCTACAAAATGGCAATCTATTCAGTCATGCACAAATACTAATAATAAATAATAATAATAATAAACTTTATAAACGGGTCAAAATATTTAGCTATAAAGCTAATTGAGGACACGACATACATAAATAATTAAACAGAGCGGATGCAATTAAACCGTGAAATAAAATCATACTAAATACTAACTAATAGTATCTATTTAGTGACTAATAGTTGCTATCACTCAACCAGAACATTCATCATACAAAGACAAATCTTTTGTTTAATAAATGTTCTGGTTGAGTAATAGTGACTATTAATCACTAAATAGATACTATTTGTCAGCATTTAGCTTGTTTTTATTTCACGGTTTAATTGCATCCGCTCTATAAAAATCTATAGCTAATAAGAATAATATAAAAAAGATAGATTACTAAATATCAATCATTCATTCATTTATTCATCTTTTCATTATAAAATGAATAATTTATCGATCCATTCATTCATTCCAACAACTAGAAGGTCAATCCTTCTTTTATGCAATTTACTAATTCATTAAATTACTTAATAATTCATCAATCCATTTATTATTACATTCATTCATTCATTCATCAATAGACCTCTTCGCCTCTGACCTAATGTTTTCCCATTTCAGACCACATATCATTCCCTACACTATCATTTCTTTGTTTAAGGTTTGCGCTCGGTTGCACATGAGAAGACACATGAATATGGATACAGCTCAAACAAAGAATATTATTCTCAAGGGAATGACACATGGTCTGAAATGGGAAAACATTACCCCAAGCCGATGAGGTCTATTCATTCTTCCTTCCATCCATTTTTTATTATCATTGAATAATTTATTCATTCTCTTTTAATAAAAGTCTAATATAGTTTTGCATGTCATCTCTATGAATTCATCCATTCCTTTATTCACTATCTAACCAACTCACTAAATCTTTTTATTTATTTATCCATCCGTCCATTTTTAAACTCCTTCTTTATTTATTCATATTTGAATAAAATTTACRAGTTTGCTTTCAAGTTGATTAAATTTATATATTTTTATCTATATTGCTGTGTTTTTGTAACTCCCTAGTATGCACTCATCCACATTTCTTTATCATTCTGCTATCTAACTTACTCAATCACTTAATTATTCATGCATCTATCCATGCATTAATTTCTTCTCATTCATTCATTCATATTTGAATTACCTTTACGAGTTTACTGTGCTTTTGTAATTCCCTACACAAACTTTCCAGTTTACTTTTTGCCAGGGTAGCTTTGTTGTAGTCTGATTGCAGCACATCTCTCTCCTTTGTCAGCTGATGACAGAAACATTCAATGATATAATAGTTGTGTAAGGTTTTCATGACAACAATGAAGGGCAAAACCTTTAAATTTTATAAAAACCGGACACAACCACTTTGCTGATCTAAGTCAGGGCATATGGCTAACTCGCAGATTGAACCCTGAAACAACCTCTGGGCTGATCTAAGTCCATTGTGCAATCACTCTATCATGATCTAAGAATGGTAAAAGTACATGTATTATTTTGTATTACCTTTTCATTTTTCGCCTCCAAATCATCTTTTTTATGCTCAACTAATTTATTTTCTGCAGCCTAAAAAAAAGAAAATATTCAACTTTATCAGAATAATTTTAATCAAATAAAACACAATTTTTTTAAACTCTGAAACATTACTGGTATACCTATGGGCTGATCTAAGTCGATCAGGGTACAGCTAACTCACAGATAGAACCCTGAAACAATCTCTGGGCTGATCTAAGTCAGGGCACAGCTAACTCACAGTTCAAACCCTGAAACAACCTCTGGGCTGATCTAAGTCAGGGCATGGCTAACTCAAAGATAGAACCCTGAAACAACCTCTGAGCTGATCTAATAAAGCCAGGGCATGGCTATCTCACAGATCCATCCCTTAAACAACCTCTGGGCTGATCTAAGTCAGGGCATGGTTAACTCACAGACTGAACCCTGAAACAACCTCTTGGCTGATCTAAGTCAGGGTATGGCTAACTCAAAGATAGAACCCTGAAACAACCTCTGAGCTGATCTAATAAAGCCAGGGCATGGCTATCTCACAGATCCATCCCTTAAACAACCTCTGGGCTGATCTAAGTCAGGGCATGGTTAACTCACAGACTGAACCCTGAAACAACCTCTTGGCTGATCTAAGTAAGGGCATGGTTAACTCACAGATAGAAYCCTCAAACAACCTCTAGGCTGATCTAAGTCAGGGCACAGCTAACTCACAGATTGAATAGAAATTTAGCATGTGAAGTATTGTGGATGGAGGAAAACTGGAGAACTTCGAGAAAAAACCCTGATTAAACTATGTAACTGTGGGAGATAAGATTTTCAATTTCCACAAGCAAGTTCTCATTGAGAGTGATGAATACCCTTTGAAATAAAATCTAATATTTAATGACCTCGTCCAGTAGTTGAAAACAAAAGAAAACAATATAACTAGTGTTTATTATTAGACTTCTATATCACAAATAAAATAAACATCAMTCAACTGATGAATGCATGGCAAAAAATTATTTAAAAGAAATGGTTTAAGTCATTAATTTTTGAACAATATCTACCCAAGCATGTCTACCAGACGATAAAATATTTTCTGCTTAATTTATTATTTTATTACTATTTCATTGCAAGTAGTTAAGGCCAATATTGAAGGTACGCCGTCCTAATAAGGAACCCAAGCTACAGCCAAAGCTTGAATGAATCTGGCAAGCCAAACAAGTGAAATTTTTTCTAACGTTTTCTTTTAAACTCATTTCCCCCCTGTATCTAAAACACCTAAGATAAAACTAGCAGTCCTAAAGACTAGCTCTATGTTCTTGAATTTATTTCTGTAATGTCAGACACGCTAACAGAKGAGTCTAAGAAGAGTTATTGGTGCATATCACGCCAGTTACTACTTAAGTTATGTGAATGAATATTCATATGGAAAAATAATTCAAACTCGAACCTTCTAAAAACCTTATACTGAGGATGTAATGAAATACAGAAAGAATATTGGTATTAAGTTATTCAACTTTAAGGCCTAGCTTTGGTAACTTTTATAATATTTGTATTTTATAAACCTGTTATGAATTCCTGAATTTATAAGCTTGTTTTTAGACGCGCGTTGAGTTTTGAATTTGGATCTTACCAGTTGTACGTATTTCCTTGCGATTGCTTCAACTTTTGCTTCTGGGGTTTCAACGTTATCAAAAGCCCTTAATAAAAGCTCTGTGGTAAAACAAATCACAAATAAAAATCAGCAAATGTACAATTTATGATAAACTCATAGAAAATTCCTCCAGACCATTTTGGTGAGTAAAATATACATTAAATAAAGGCGTTATAAAAATGGATTTACTTATTCTCTTTTCTTCTTCTTTATTCCTCTTCTCTTCTTTGGTCTTTTTGCTTTTTTTCTCAATCGTTTGAGGCTTAGGAACATCAGTAGGAATTTGGTTATCAACTTCTGCAGGATGTTGTTTTTCTTCACCATTCTGTTGAACCTGTTCAAAATAGAAGCAGTTTTTTCAGTATATTTTTGCTCGATTGCAGCAATGATGATATAACTGGATGCTAGTGTCATACCTGAGGCTCTGTGGATGTGTTTTCGGGTTTTATATCAACAGGTGCATCCATTTTAGAGTGTTTTATGTATTTCTCTGATCGTTCGTTGGATCCGTGGTTCGATGGAATGACAAGTTCTGCAATATTGCGTCTAGCGCCAGTCTACTCGGTGTGTCTTCATTGCGAGGTCTTACCACAGGTATCCCGAACAATATGTCAACTTTATCTAAGCAAAGATTCCTGAATTAATGGGTAAAATGAGATCTGGGATTCGCCTTTTTGGGACTAAGGAAATGGAATTTTAAACCCTGGGAATGGGATTCACAGACAAAAAACAGTTGCAGTATGCATAGACTATACACCAAAGTCCAATATGTCACATAGCATATTGAAGACATTTTTGAGTGAGGGTGCATCTATTGTTGCCGTAACAAAGGAAAAACTGAGGTGGAAAGAAAAATCGAAAGCTTCCTCAATAGATTTACCTAGTGAAATGTTATGTTTCACTGGCCATATGGTTAGACGGACAATACATAACTATAACAAGTACAGTATTTCACTCATCCACCAATTTCATGGTCTTCATGAGCTGGTCCAGTTCTTTTAACATAGTTATTTTCATTTATTTATATATCTTTGCCATTTTAACACCCACGTTATACATGATATATACATGCATAATAGCTGGGAATCCACTACAGCATGTGCCAATTACCGTGGTCCCTCATAAATATTTATTAGAAAATGAATTATCAAGAAAAATTTCCTTTTTTTTTTCCTTTTGTTTTTTTCTTTTTATTTCCCTTGTCTTTATTTTTTTTGTCCTTATTTTCCTATACACTTATTTCAATAAAGTTAGTCACCTGTTTCAACCGCTTGACATAAACTAATGGACTTGAGATCTCTTACCAGTTAGTCTCACCTCCTCTGAGCATACTCAACTGCTGCAGTTTGTCATGCACTGTACTTAGTTTTGTTCGTGAGTAATGCACGTGTACTTACAATTTGAACGATTGAACAAGAGGCTAGATGATTCTGACCACTGAGCAAGGTTTTTTACCATCATAAACACAATATCTTCAGGTTGATTAAAGACAATACTCTTTAGAGAATCTCTTATTTAAACTAATAATAAAATAAATAAACACAATTTATTTTAGCAAATTTTATTCCTGTTCAAAATCTTAAACAAAATTTACAATCACAGAGGGAAAAATAAATTAACAAAGCCAGTTAAGTTCTGTAATTCTATATCATTTAGCAGTTCATTAGTGGAAGTTCACTGGTGTACTGACGACTGTCTAGTTACCACCTCTCAGACGCAATACCAAGTGAAGGGTTGATTCTTTCTGGATATTGTAGTCGCTCAAAGTACG